AAATATGACATCAAATGAATGGCCCTAAAATGGATAACAAGCTATTTAAATGACAGGCAACAAAACAATATGTTCAAATAAAAGGTGTATGTATGCATGTATGTATATATTCTTTGGTGTTTCTGATTTTTTTTTCTCGTTTTTACTTTATAAATATAAACAGTGTTAGCCAACCAGTCCACAAATCACTTTGTTCAAAGTTAATTTACAATTTGACTGTTGTACATTTGTATTAAAGTAATTTTTGTTATAAGGGGAAGATAACCTAAGTTTTTCTTCTTTCTGTCCCCTTTTCATGTTGGTTTTAGTAACCTAGCTTTGTATATTGATTTAATATGAATACATGAAAATAAAATACAGCAAAAAAATATTGAACCTTTCCACTAATTTCTAATTGTCTGAGATTTTGAATGTGAGGTTTTCATCAGCTGTATGCAAGGGCGTAGGAACGAGTTTATTATTGGGGGGTACACATTTTGGAAATCTAACAAATCTGTGATAGGTCAATATTAGGGTTGTCACGGTAAACGGTGTAGCGGTAAACCCCGGTAAAAAAGTTGACAATAATAATAACCATCTTGTTTTTAAAAAAAATTATATTATCTCGGTGGATTACCGTGGCTGCGGTGTAGGCGCGGTGACCCTTACCAGCCACCGTATCATCTGCTGAAGTTGCCGGCGGCACATGCGTGCTTTGTTGTTTACGACCAAAACTTTCTGGAAGCTAAAGCTGAAATAATGGCCAAAGGAGGAGACGGCAGCGCTCAGGACATTTATTATCCCTCAAAGAAGACAAAGTGGGAAGTACGGGCATGTTTTGGATATTTGAAGAATGCCGAGGGACAGTTGATAGAAGACGGCTATCCTGTTTGCAGCACGTGCAGGAAAACGTGTCTGTGAAAGGCAGCAACGCTTCAAATCTCATGACACATCTGCATGACCATCACCCACAACTCTACAGTCAACGCAAGGCAAGTTAACGTTAGCGTTTTAGCTAAAATGCGTGATCCGAGGATTTGGGTTGAGGGAGAAGGCAACGAGTCGCTATATGAAGCAGCCGCAGCGCCGCTACCTGCATATAAACCGTGTCGCGGACACCCCCATGTTGAAATGACGCTATGCATTATGGGGCTCCCAGCGGTAGATAAGAGTTGGTCTCTCTCCGAGAATAATTATGTATTTAACAATGATTACTGCCTGATGACATTTTCCCAAATCTGCAAAGCTCACTGGAAGGACACAAACTGAGGACAACATTTTCCTGATATAGGGTTTATTACTCAAGTAAGGGTAAAAAAGTATCTGATTAGAAGGGTACTTGAGTACTGAGTATCATCTGATCTAATATTTTTAAAATGATGACATCAAACAGACAAAAAATAAGAAGTTATGGGCAAATATTGGTATTTTAAAGACTAAAGGGGAAATATGTAAACAAATAAACAACATAATTACAAAATAACAAATTTTAGGCAAAATTTAGACACAAACTGAGGATGATATTTTCCCGATATACAGGGTTTATTTAGTTGTCTGAAAATGTAACACGTTTAAAAAAAATAACCGCGATAATACTGAAAACCGTGAAAATTTTGGTCACAATAACCGTGAGGTTAAATTTTCACACCGTGACAACCCTAGTCAATATATTCACTCACCTAAAGGATTCTTAGAAACACCACACTAATACGGTGTTTGACCCCCTTTGGCCTTCAGAACTGCCTTAATTCTACGTGGCATTGATTCAACAAGTTGCTGAAAGTGTTCTTTAGAAACGTTGGTCCATATTGATAGGACAGCATCTTGCAGTTGATGGAGATTTGTGGGATGCACATCCAGGGCACAAAGCTCCCATTCCACCACATCCCAAAGATGCTCTATCAGGTTGAGATCTGGTGACTGTGGGGGCTGTTGTAGTACAGTGAACTCATTGTCATGTTCAAGAAACCAGTCTGAAATGATTGGAGCTTTATGGCATGGTGCATTATCCTGCTGGAAGTAGCCATCAGAGGATGGGTACATAGTGGTCATGAAGGGATGGACATGGTTAGAAACAATGCTCAGGTGGCCTGTGGCATTTAAACCATGCCCAGTTGGCACTCTCCCCCAAATTCCACTACCTCCGCTCCGCTCCGCTGCGGTCCGCCCCCGCCTTCCGCAGCCGCTCGCTTCCGAACTCAATTTTTACTGGTATGCGCTCTACAACGGCTCCGCTCCGGTGCGGAGACCTGAGGTGGGCAAACAAGCATGCGCGGGATTTTCAAGATCTTGCGATACAGTCCGAGCAATAAACGCGGAAGTTAGATCCAAACACCCGTTGTGTGGGAGAAGCATCAGCATGAACTGTTTAATCTGCCCATCATTTGTGTAGAGAGATCAGCAGTGTTTGGATCAACAAAGTGTGACTACTTTGATAGTGGAAACTGTATTTATGACTTATTTTTGTGCATTTAAAGTTCAACCGCCATTGACAGTTGTTAAAAGTTGTTAAACCTGTGCATATGAAACCAAAAACGCCTTTTGTTTATCGATTTATTGTGAAAAACGGAAGTTGTGCTTGCTCCTTTTCCTGTTGGGCGGTGGTGATTTCTGTCCATTGACTGCGGAGGTGCTCCGGCGTCCGGCGAAAATAGGATCGATTCTATTTTTGCCGGACGCTGGAACAGAGGGCGGCGCACGGCACCGCACTGCCGGAGCACGGCCGCAGTAGTGGAATTGCTCTGATTGACTACAACGGGACCGATTTTGCTCCGGCGTTCGTGTCGGAGCGGAGCGGAGCGGAGCGGAGGTAGTGGAATTTGGGGGTAAGGGACCTAAAATGTACCAAGAAAACTTCCCCCACACCATTACACCACCACCACCAGCCTGCACAGTGGTAACAAGGCATGATGGATCCATGTTCCCATTCTGTTTACGCCAAATTCTGACTCCAACATTTGAATGTCTCAACAGAAATCAAGACTCATCAGACCAGGCAACATTTCTCCATTCTTCAACTGTCCCATTTTGGTGAACTGGTGGTAATTGTAGCCTCTTTTTCCTATTTGTAGTGGAGGTGAGTGGTACCCCGTGGGGTCTTCTGCTGTTGTACCCCATTCACCTCAAGCGTGTGCGTGTTGTGGCTTCACAAATGCTTTGCTGCATTCCTTTGTGGTAACGAGTGGTTATTTCAGTAAAGTTGCTCTTCTATCAGCTTGAATCAGTCGGCACATTCGCCTCTGACCTCTAGCATCAACAAGGCATTTTCGCCCACAGGACTCCTGCATACTGGGTGTTTTTCCCTTTTCACACCTTTCTTTATCAACCCTAGAAATGGTTGTGGGGGAAAATCCCAGTAACTGAGCAGATTATGAAATACTCAGACCGGCCCATCTGGCACCAACAACCATGCCACGCTCAAAATTGCTTAAAGCAGCTTTCTTTCCCATTATGACATTCAGTTTGGAGTTCAGGAGATTGTCTTGACCAGGACAACACCCCTTAATGCACTGAAGAAACTGTCATGTGATTGGTTGATTAGATAATTGCATTAAGGAGAAGTTGAACAGGTGTTCCTAATAATCCTTTAGGTGAGTGTAGAACAGCCTCACAGAAAAAAAAATTATTTAATGATTATTTCTGATTCTAATGGGTCACTCCGAGTGTTTCATGCAGGCTGAACATGAAAATAGTCTCCTACAGCCATCTCCTGCATTAGCTTCTGATAGAAAATAGACGGTGAAACTCTAAGATATGAAAAGCCTGACAGATGTGACTCAGGGCGTAAGGCAAAGCCCAGAAAGACAAGAAAATAACTTTTATAGCCCAGTTCACTAACATTTTTTTTCTTCTTTTGATCGGGGACCCATGAGCCAACCAGAAGGGGAGGAGACTGGCTCCCCATTAGCCAGATCCAGTTTGATTACCTGTCAACGTGGATGTTTTATTAAAAAAAGCTGTTTTTGTGTCAGTATGGTTTTATTTTTATTTAATAATATGAATGTAGGATATGTGGGTAGAGATGTGTAAACAGATTTAATACAAGACTAAAGCTGTGAAAATTGAGTCTTAATTGATCTGACTCTCATCAGAATATTTTAAACAACATCAGCCAACAATGCTGACCAACAATCTGAAAAATCTGTTTGCTTCTGACAGAATGAAAAAAGAAATAACAATTCACTCACAACAACAGCTGTAACTACATTATTATTCAGATGGCCAAAAGAAAAAAACAGTGGCCAAAATTGCAGACTAAATGCACCAGAATGCAGGGTTTAACACTTGTTTTTTCAAATATTTCTAAGGAAGCGTGTACAGAATTTATTTTATTCTTAAGCCGTACTGCCCAGCCCTACTTGTTATGGGATTACATAAATGTAACTGTGTTCACTTATTATCACATTCAAATCTTCCTCTCATCAGCCACCTAAAACCATCCCACTCACTGTAGCACCTACCTGCACCTCAGCAGGTCTGGTTCTCCCTGTCTCACCTTCTTATCATTTTGCTGCTGAACTTCATCTGATCTCTTATATGAACAAAGTGACAAGAATAAGGTTTAAAAATAAAATTTGATGAGAATGTCACAAACAAGCAACAGTCACACTTACAAACGCCATTTTTAAGTGGAGATTCTACTTATTTCCTGTCAAACGGTTTTTGTCTGTTACTATAAAATTCGCCATTTTTTATTGACTAGTTGTGTTGTTTAATCCTCCCACTGTGCTAATGGGTGACCCCATGAGGAAAGTTGACCATTGAGCAGAATTGATGGTTCATCCCTTGAGGTCCATGTGGCAGGGGTGAGGAGTGAGTACCACCTCACCCCTGCCACATGGACCTCAAGGGATAAACCATTGATCCTGCTCAATGGTCAACTTTGCTCACAGGGTCACCCATTAGGACAGTGGGAGGGTTAATGTTTAATGCTGCCTAGCAAGATGTTTACAGTAGTCAACCAGTCTAACGTTTGACCAAAAATACAATTATCCTCTTGGACAAAATTATTACCAACTCACATTTCCTTTCTTTCTTTTTTTGCGCATGAGAAAGAACTCGTTGAGCTGCTGTCGTCTCATCTCTGACACCTGTGTCCGTGCCCCGGCTCTGACTCCTGCTTCACTCAGCCAGCCTGTCTGACTCCCTGAGGGGAGGGGCTGTGTAGGTGAGAAATCTGCAGTGTCTTTCAAAATAAAAGCTTGCGAGTCAAATATTTCAAAATCTATTTTTTTTTTCATCTCCATGTTATTGGGGGGACAAATATGTGTTTGCCCAATATTGGAGAGGACTAGGGCTGGGGCAAACGATTATTTTTAAAATGATTATTCTGACGATTATTTTATCGAATAGTCGACTATTCTAATGACTATTTAGACAGTTAATCTAATGATTATTTTTCTATTGCACAGTTAATAAAAACCAAAAAATCTCTAATAAATTTCTCAAAAAATTGATAAATTGTTACTGTAAGAGAATAAACACTACAGGCCTTCCATTTTGTACAACTCTGCTTTAATTGTGTTGCGGTTGGTTATGTTCTGGTGACATGTAGAACTTGGGAGTGCAGGCTGCTGCCTGCGAGGTGGTTGGAGACAGAATGTCTCCATGCTGCTTTGTTTTGGTCACTTATGAGCGTGAGGCGAGTGGTGCTACAACCCTTCCTGGGGAGTTTGGCTCGTGTGTAAAAAGGAAGGGACAATAACACGGGATTTAAAAGTTAAAATGATGATCAGGTTTACTTACAACTACAACAAAAATCATAAATCTTGCCACCCACAGGTTGGGAATAATAAAACTAATCCTGCCTGTGGGGAATTAAAACAAAAGTACAAATAAGTAGGGATGTCCCACTGGGCAAAGATTACAGGGTTTTGGACCAAAATAAGAATCTCCAAAGGTCCAAACTCTAAACTGGGTGGTTAAACCAAACTCGAGGTGATATTTTAAACTAAACCGAAAACCCACAACCCTCTAAATGTAATAAAAGGGAGATCTGCGCCACAAAAAAGATGAACTCTAAACCAAAATGTAACAGCAAGAAGCTGTTAGCGAAAATGCTAACAGTATCTTTACCAACATTAAGTTCAAGTTACCGAGTTTAAATAAACCAAAATACCCAGCAGCAAACAGACCAGCACAGAGAGACTGCTACCACCAAAACAGCTCTCCTAATGTCTGAAAGAATCTCCTTTATGAAGGGAGAAACGCTCCCGGTGACGTTCTACATCTGCGATAGAGACGGAGCAGCGCATCTGACCCCGGAAGTTGTTGTCCGTTGCCGGGAGACGAAGGCGGGCAAAACAGGAAAGGAATCTAGTAGCGGACAGACATTGTTCTGGGCCTTCGGTATTTGGCGGAGATGTTAGTGAAGGCGGAGAAGAGGGCGAGCTAGAGAAAAAACAGGCAGATTCCACCACTGTTTACAAACTCCTGGGGATGCAACAAGTGGGCGCGGTGCGTCGACTACCGGATCTGACGTCGACAAATTTGTAGAATCGAGCCGTCGACGTCATCGATGTTTCGCTACAGCCCTGGAGAGGACAAGTCCCCCCGGTTCCTACGCCCTTGGCTGTAAGTCATAATCATCACAGTTGTATGGAAAGAGTATATCTTGTAAATTAGTTTCACCTTTTAAGCGGAATTACTGGCATAAATTAACTTTTACACCATATTCTAATTCTTCGGGTTTGACTCGTGTCTAGAGAGATAATGTCTAGTTGTGATCAGAGGAGAGTGGTCCGACTAGTTCTAGAAGAAAGAAAGACAGCAGGAAAACTAAACTAAAAGACTGAAATTATTATCAAAAGAAGGGGATGAAAAATATCAGACATACACTCATTTAGTGCTGCTGGGGTTCTGCTTTCATGAGAAAATTACTACGCAGTATTTTCTCCAAAGGACTATGCCATCTACGCCCTGAAGCGTAGACAATAGGCATATTGATATCAGCACCAGCAGGGACTCCATGCCCCATGATCCTTTGCAGCCAGCAGCAGCTTGATGATGTCATCACGCAATGCCAAGTCTGACCGGCTGCTACAGAGATCGCCCGCTGGACGAGTCTATAAAGCTGAGGCGCAGAGCGGAACTACTCCTCTTTTCCGTCCAATTCATCTGGTGTAAGAAGACCCCCCCCCCCCCCGGCCTCTGCTCCTACCGATCCGGACAGCGCGTGCATGAGGCCTAGCTGCTGAGATCGACGGATCAACGCCATCTGACCTGCTCAGCCCCGGACACAGAGGGATGCCTTGTGTTCGTTCATGCAAGAATTTTTTTTTCCTATTTTCTCTCTCTTTCTCTCCCGCTTCTCTAATAGTCCGAAACAAGCGGTCGACCACGTGACTGCTTTAAAATAACAGACGGTCTCTCTCTTCCGTACCAAAAGCGCCGACGGACATCTCGAAGTAAGCTCCGTTTCTTTATTGTTTAATATCTAAGTTTGTTTATGCTGTGGCCAGGCTGACAGACTGTTTAGATATGTAATTTGCCTTTATGACTGATCTGTTGTTTTTTTCTTGATCTTTGAGAAGCGATTTGAAGTGTTTTGATTAAGTTTCCTTTGAACGTTTGCTCACACCGTCAAATACTCGTCTGATCACTGATCGTGCGTGTTTGGGAAGACAAGCTAAAATCACACACACACACAGTTCGATCCTTGGTTCAGCCAAACAAAGGATCCGCCATTTTGTTTTCAAAACTCCCTCCAGTTTGGTAATCAGCTATCTCTGCCTGATCACATCACCATCTTCCCCACCGGTCTGATTAGGTTGTTACTTCACATTATCATTCCATGGTTTCATTGCTTGTTGTTTGTTTGATAAAATCAGTTGGTTGAAATTGATTGGCTAGCGCTTTGAAGGAGCTAAGGTGATTGTATTAGTCAATAAATGTTATTGCCAATTAAGTTTTGTCTCAAGTGAATTTGTCTGTGTTAGATAGAATATGACCGCTGCTCGTTAAAAGAATTTTACGAACTTTAGACAGATTGATAGAGGTTTGGATTCATTTTTCCCCTGTAAGAAGAGGTGGTGCCCCGAGGCATATCCACGGATATCCTAATTACGTAATAAATTGGTAAATATTTCCATATTTACGAATTTTATTGATGAATCCAACGAGTAAGTAAAGCTTACACATTATTTGTTGGCTAATAACCACAACAGTGCTTACACGAATTTACAAAATAATTTTAAAAATGATCATAAAACATGGAAAAAAAACTGGTTACAGTGTATGATGTGTTGAACGTGCATTAAAAAATGAAGCTGCACAAAAAGACAACATTACCTAGAAATATTCTTTAATTGTTCCCTTTTTGTTCTAAATGTTTTAAAATCAACAAGGTGAAATTTCATGTTAGGATAAAGGTGAAGTTGCTAAAATTCTGACTTTAAAAAAATAAAAGACAAAATAAATTCCACCTTTAAAAAATCTGTGTCAAAGTGTCAAGTTTCAATATAATTTCTGACAGAAACATTTAGAGGTGACAGAAGTAAAAATATGGTCTTTACCTGAAGGAGGTCATCACTCAGGACCTCGGTTTTCTCTGCCCTGTTGATAAAAACACAGAAAACATCAGACAATGATGAAAACATGTCTTCAACACATGAATCACACACACACACCTGTCTTTCAGTGTGTGTTTGCTGTGTTTTCTCACAGCTCAAAATGAGTTCAACTCTTTTTTTAGTCACAGATTTCTCATATTTTAGTGTTACACATAATCCCGGTGGATTATACTTTAAACACTTACTTGTTTTATATTTGACAGATTTATGCAGCCACATTGTCTGATTCGATAAAGATTCTTTAGCATGCTAGCAGCGGGGAAACAGCAGATGATACACACCATTACATCATTGTGGTAGGGTATCCACAGAGACAGAGATGAGCATTAATCCTGAAATGTTGTGCACCATTTGTGCACACTTACTCAACATGTTCACACAAATGGCCACTTGGAACCTGTCAGATTCCTCCACCCTGTCTGAAAGCACTCTTCTCCCTGACTCAGCTACACCGTGTTTGTTATGGCAACAGGTGTGTGTGTGTGTGTGTGTGTGTGTGTGTGTGTGTGTGTGTGTGTGTGTGTGTGTGTGTGTGTGTGTGTGTGTGTGTGTGTGTGTGTGTGATATTGAGAGCAGCTAAGTTGCTATGAGGTTTGTTGATGTCAGGCATAATTTGGACATTTGTTGTGGCATTGGCAGAAAAGTTCTGGACTTCAAAATTTCCAGTGAAAGCGTCAAAATGTCTAAAATCATCACAAGAGCATTTGAGGTTAACAGAGTAAGTTTGCTTGCTGTTTAACATTTTTTTATCAATAAGCACCAAGATGTTTGGTATCAGGCACAACTTCCCACAGATCTCGGTCTCAGCAGCAGCAAAAGCCCACACTGAGAAGCTGAACCTCACAGGGATCAATTACCCACATTCAGACAGGAGTTATACCGCAATGCAATTTTCATGTTACATCTTACACACACAGTAAATAAAGACTGACCTCATTCAGGACTCAAATATCCTCACTCTTGTTTTTTTTTTTTTCTGCCTGATTTGGCACAAAAAATAAGCAAAGATCTTCTTCAGGCTGACAAGAATAGGTTTTCCTAATTTTGTAGTTTTTAATGCAAATTGATTAATTAAGCAGACCAGCACAGAGGACCAGGAAGTGGTACGACAGGCTAGGATCAGATATTATGCCAACATTGTGGAATCAAATTCTCATGACCCACGCACTCTTTTTAAGGTAATTGATTCAGTACTGGAAACTGCAACTTCTGCCTCCAGGTCCACGGCTGCGATGGCCGGGACATGTGAGGATTTTGTTCACTACTTTGTGGACAAGATAGCGATGATTCGGGCTGCTATTGTAGGCCGTACTCCTGTTTTTGTGGAGCCTATGCCACTTAGGGCAAACCTGCCCGTCTTCCAGACTATATCTATGACAGAGCTAGAGGAACTCATTTCTAAGCAAAAACCTTCTGGTTCCCCTTATGATGCTCTTCCACCAAGGATGCTTAAGGAGGCTTTTTCTGTTCCGGCCCCTTATATACTGTTTATCTTAAATACCAGTCTGGCCTATAGAGCTCCGGACCCCACGTGACTCTCAGTTAGTAGATGCCATATTGGCAGGTAAAAGAATCTAAACACAGATGTAAACATGAACGTGAACGGGATCGGCTTGGATTTTACTTCGTCGGAGTTTACTTCACTCTTTAAAACCGAAGAAATCGTTTCATATAGTCAGGAATTAAATAGACTAAACATCTCCGACCCTTACCGTGACTCAGGGATACGTTTTAAAAATGCCAGAAGCTGTCGGAGCGGACTTCTTACCGGACCTGGCCGGTGAACCCCTTGGGA